AAAATAAAAAATCTAGTAATTCGAGTATCATTCAGAATTTTCCCACTTGACATTGTCAGCCAAAATTTTTATCAACTGTCATTTATTAATGTTTTTCTATATGTTTTTGAACCTTTTTATATTTTATTCTCATGTTAGTAAGTTCTCCATATTTATATATTTTTTACAAAATATATAATCTTATTATTGTAGTTGTCCTGACGAAGGTGTGAAATATACCGAAAGCTTGACATATAACAAGGTTTTCTTTGTAACAGCCCAGCTATTGACTGCAACCTCACGCATTGAACCGATTTATAGTTAATCCAGTCACTAATTATTCTGTGTTATGAAAATAATATGTAATTAGCCATTTTATAGCTGCGGCCACCTTGAATTTGCGTCTTTTTCAAAGTGTACTGCTATTCTGCCAGTCGAGTCCTATCATTTGATACCAATATTGAGGTAGTTGTGAAAAAATTAGTAATCATTAATTTTGTAGCTACGGCCATCTTGAATCTGTATCTTTTTCAAAGTGTACTACTCTTCTACCAATCAAGTCCTGTCATTTGATACCCATATCAAGGTAGTTATGGAAAAATATGTAATCCCCCATTTTGTACATGCGGCCATTTTGAATTTGCGTCTTTTTCAAAGTGTACTACTATTCTTTATATCAAATTTTCCCTTTTTTTTAGTAATAAATCGATATCATATTACGAAAAAATGGTAGGTGATGAAGAAAAAACTGCTAGGAAATATGGTTTCAGCATACAGAAATGTATAAGATTGGCCTATGTTATCAATACTGTTATTATTAGTAGTTTCCCAAATGCCCCTTGACACCTCTTCCTACCAATCCAACTTTTAGTATTTAGGACTCGTTAGTCTTTAGCTCGCACAAGTTTCTCAACTTCTGAGAGTTGTCGTTCGTATGGGGGCGGCAGCTGAATAACGGAAAAACAGATTTAAGACAGATGACATCATATACCTCGGTTAGTTCAGTGTGTCGAAACAGCTGTAGGCATTAAATGGTAGTGTTGTGTCACAGCAATCCTAACCAGCATGGACACTCCCTTGGGCGGGAAAAATACGCGCATATTCAGTGTTGCCGATTGGCGGATAATTATCCGATTTGCGGATAATTTGAAGGGTTGGCGGATAATTTTCTCACCCTGTCTAAAATCGAATAATTAGGATCCGACTGAATGTTTAGACTTGACAACAGCGATATTTCGTGTTGAAGCATAGGGTTGAGATAATGAGATTCTGTGTAACGAAGAAATTATTAATATGTATGTATTGACTTGTGTAAATACTGAGGAATGGTAAAAAACACCAATAAATTATCTATCATTCTGCCTTTCTGAATATTATGAGATCTGTTAGTGTTTTGGGATGTTAAGGCATATGCACGAAAAAAATTACCTGTGCAGTTAATTATAAATAATTATGTATCTTGATCATAACTCGAGTAATTCTCAGAAGAGAATCATGTTTTTTTAAAGGTGAATGTCCTGATAACTTTATATCATAAAATATCATATAATTGTAATAATGGTTTTATGAGTTTGAATGGATTTAAACATAAGCTTGCAACAATAGAAGGCTATACTATACCAATGGGATTCGATTTAGATATAATAATTATGCATTTCTCTTAAAAGGCAGACCCAGTTAAATCGAAAAAACTCTAACAGCAAACCATTTCCACTTCAATCTCCATTTCAGCAATGGAATATGGACCTTGAAACCCTGTTTTTTTTTCCTAATATGAGTCCCAAGAACTTGAAGGCCGTCTTATTTTCAATATGTTAATCTAATTTGAGATTTTCATAGTCAAATGGGCTCCTGTCACAGGATTGTGACAGTAAAGTAGTCCATTTTATAAACACAATACTGTTTTCACAGTATTGTGTTATTATAGTAGGTAAAGAAGCAATCATTGAGATCAGTCATATCAAAAGTATTATAACTTCATGAGTTTTCCTGGAATAATATTTGATTGGGGAAAGCCATGTGGTGTCTGAAAATACATATTCATCAAACAAGATCAATAATCTATTAACAAATAACTTCCATCTATATTTTTAGAAAGGTATAACTCCTGTAGTGAAATTGAATTTTTTTGTAATACAGCAAAATTTATCTTTACAATTTTTTTTTATAGATTATGTATGTACTTGGCATTTCATCTCTAGATAATACTCTGCAGATATTATTAAAAATAAATTCCCCTATTCAGTGTGCCACTATTCCATTTGATCCCTTATGGCATTTTGTTCTGAGAAAATACTCTGCCGTTATTATTATTAAAAATAAATACCTCTGTTCAGTGTGCCATCATTCCATTCGATCCCTTCTTATGGCATTTTGCTGTGGGAAAATTTATCTCGTGCACTAGCTGTCTTCAGAAGGCAGTAAAAGGATATAAGAATGTTTTCAGTCTTTTCGATGTTCTCACCTCTATCAAATCATTAGAATCAAAGAAATTCAAAAGAGTGCAATGAAAAAAATTCTGCTTTGCCAATATGATTGTTGATATTGCAAACTCCTGGATAGTTTAAGTTATGTGCATTTTCTCCGTCATATGTCCATGAATTTTATTTAGATATGTGTTTTTATTTGTCATGACTTCATTAACATTTGAATTTTATTCTTTGTATATGTGCATACATTAAGGTAATTTTGTTTTATTCGTAATGGGTATTTAGTACCGTGCAGTACAGTAACTGTACATAACATGGTGAAATAAATTACCAACCAAGATAGGCATTCAGTGAGTCAATACAAATATACATACAGAAAAACATTATGATACAAATCCAGAAATATTTATTCAAAAGAGAAATACACAAATTCTAATAACCCTTTGACTAATATTATCATATGATACCATAATGAAGAGTAAACTTTTGAAAGTAAAACTGATTTGAGTTGTGGGTATTTTACATTTTGTGGATGCTTTTGAATCATAAAAAATACAAATTCACTGCAGTGATATACATATTCAACATACACATTTTTTCATTCACTTTTACAAAGGATTAGTGAGAGAAATCGGTCAGAATTTTTTATGCCAGTGTCACCAACGAGTATGAAAATCAAGTTACATTAGTGACAATCATAAATGTCTTTATAGTACAGTTTAGTTGCATGTAATATAAGAGCTGTTTTGTGGGATGCAGACGTAAATTAAAAAATAAATTAAGTTTTTATTTTATTTATGTCTGCNATTATGGTGAATAAAATAGCAACAATCAAATGACGAACCTTATTTTATTAGATGAAGTCTTTAGAAAAAAAAGTTCCATTTCATGAATTATGACAAGATAAAATTTCCAGTACGCCTCTTTTATAGACACCATGTCGCAAGTCTGGCCCTGAGTAATCCGCTTTTCAAGATGGCGTCTTCATACTTTTTGGAATCAAAGGCGGCATCATAGAGTGTCCCTGCTGATTGTTAGGTATGCTGTGGTTGTGTAAATTATGAAGTATTATTTTCCTGTACCTATTCAATTAAAATGAATTTACCGAAACTGTAGAACAGATATTTGTTTTTCGGTATCGTATCTTATTCGAGTTGTTTTCAATCTCAACCGACAAAGAAAAGTTGGCCTCATTTGAAACTTGAAAGTACTTGGATATTTGAAGAAGACTAATAATACTTCAAATTAGTGTACCAATCGAATTCACCTCCTATTCTTGAAGGTTTCAGTGACGCTGATTGGGCCAGAGATATAAATACAAGAAAGTCTTCTGTAGTGCAGTGATCGTCTCGTGAACAAAACTGTGTGACTTATCTTTTTGTGAAGCACAATTCATTGTAGCATTTCAATTTCAGAAGTGTTCTGGGTACAAATGTTGTTGATAGACTTAGGATTTGATTTAACACATATCCCTNAATTTGCGTCTTTTTCAAAGTGTACTACTATTCTATATATCAAATTTTCCCTTTTTTTAGTAATAAATCGATATCATATTACGAAAAAATGGTAGGTGATGAAGAAAAAACTGCTAGGAAATATGGTTTCAGCATACAGAAATGTATAAGATTGGCCTATGGTATCAATACTGTTATTAGTAGTTTCCCAAATGCCCCTTGATACCTCTTCCTACCAATCCAACTTTTAGTATTTAAGATGACATCATATACCTCGGTTAGTTCAGTGTGTCGAAACAGCTGTCGGCATTAAATGGTAGTGTTGTGTCACAGCATACCTAACCAGCATGGACACTCCCTTGGGCGGGAAAAGTACGCGCATACGCATATACTTCGCGTCGCTATGTCGGCCATGTTGAAAAGCATTGGACCTGTCAAGTTTAATATTGGTATTAAATTGTGTATTATTGGTCATATGCGCCTGAAGATAGGAAGCAACGACCATCCAAAATAGAGAGAGAGAAATTGTGTGTTGCTTTATTTTGCGAGTGTTTTATTATTATTACAATGGATAAACAGAAAAAACGTGGTCATATTTGTGCTGTAGTGAACTGTAGAAGCAGCAGATTAAAGACTAATAAGAGTTTATTAACATTTCCAAATGATATTGATAGGTGAGTCAAACTCTTTCATAAATATTAAGTATTTGAATGTATCTTGAGGAGGTAGGAATGTCTTGAAATCAATGCTTGAAATCCATTTTCAGTCGTTTCTCTTCCCTGGAAAAAGCTTGGAATTGTTATATTATCTGTCTAGAGCAAATTGGAATATTTGCCTAGATACATAACTCCAATGTTGCAATCCTTCCCCTTGCCAACATTTCGGAAGTTACTCTGCTGCCCTTTTCAAGCCTTTTTTAAAATATCTTCAATTGAATTACAACTACAGATCTGATAAGAACTCAAGTTTTTTTTATTTTCAGGGTAGAGAAATCCTAAAAATGGATTCCTGAAATCTTTCATAATCGTTAGGTAGAATCTTAGCATTTCCCTGTATTATGATCACTCTACTATGAAACATTTTATGTTGGATACATTCAACGAAAATTGAGAAGACAAGCATTCACTTGTTATTGGGTATTCTTCAATATTGCTAAAAGCCAACAAATTTTTTTAGGGCTATCCTCTGGACAATGGCATGTGGTCGTGATGATTTGAGAGAAAAAGCTGGGAATCTGCATAACTACAGAATTTGTGAAGGGCATTTTGAGGACAAACACTTTCTCAATCACCTTAAAAACAGACTGAAGCCTAATGCTGTGCCATCGATATTTCCCACATTGGAAATTTCCTCAAACTAACATTGGAATCACATATACGCTGCATTCACCACAGTAATCGGTAAATACAAAAATTGCAATGAGTTTTTTGCAATCATCATGTTAGATTCATCTCATCTGCTGCTAGTTATCGAATATATCAGACATGTTTGTCTCCATATTAGTATCAATTTTAAGTGAGTTTGAAGTAGTCAAACAACCGTTGATTAATATTCAGATTGCTTCAAACTTTGCAGTTCACAATTGTGGGATTGTCCTCATTCAGAACAAAAACAAATCTATCATTGAAACTTAACTCATTTGTATTTTCGGGCACATTTTCATTATATCCAATATAGTAATTGATTTCTTCTTCACAGCTGATGAAGATACTTCTGGATATCAAAACCATCTAGATTCTGAACATTCTGTGGTAGATTCAGCAGAATATTCTTTTGAACCCAGGTAATAAAACAATTCTGTATCATAATACAAAACTTCAAGTAGCTAATTCACTTACCAATATACCTACTAATTATTAAATTTGAAAAATGTCGAGTTTTTAGGTTACAAATGATGTTTCTGTCTTCTTCTTCTTTTGCTTCCTTAATCGCATTTGACCAGAGCGTATCCCATTACATAACATAATAGGAGGTTCTGACTTGCTCGGAGCAATACCGTAACATTACTTGTTGTCTGCCCTTAACTTGTCTGAAGTTTTTGTGTAGGTAGTTCTTCATAACTTTTTGAACTCACTGATATAGTCTATTATATTTTTTATTTTGTACAAAAAGATGTGTTGTTGGAAAACGGTACACAGAACACAAACATAAATTTTGTGGGTGTTTTTCAATTAGGCTTTCACCCATCTGCTAGGAATGTTTAGTTTGTTGAATTGTGTTATTGAGTTAGCATCTGTATTGTTTATTTTTCTGTGGTTCTGTCACAAGTTGTAATGATTGTATTTTTGATATAGGTACATGTATTTTCGCATTTTGAAAGTATCATTAAATGATAATTATGAAACTTCGTTTCATTAACAGCTTTTAACAACTTTCACTGATATAGTGGAGATTAGACTTATAAATACAGATGTCGCCATTCAGCTCTCAATGTCTAATGTATGTTCCATTCGGTTTTAATCTGTCATTTATTAATACACACCAAATCCGTTTGTTAGGGAAGCTATAGATTATGATGTAGATGACCCTTCCCGAAATAGAAGGTCCCTACACTCTGTCGAATGAGGCCCTCATGTCCCCCGTTAACGGACGAATAGCTTTTTCATCCATCCCACCCCACCCAGGTAGGGGTACCCTGTGAAGAGCGGTACTGATGTCTGAGGACTTCATACGGCCAACATCCCCTCAATCATAAACCCATTTGTCCTTCTTTGACAAAAATCAGCTAAAAGGGTAAAGGAGCTGGGCTCCAACCTCATTGTAATGAAAACGCTTGGTCGGTACACACACAAATTACAGAAATGTCAGTGTTCTTTGCATTGAATATCTTTTGCTGATTGAAGTATGAAAAAGATAGAGAGATTAAATAATTGATTAGTGAGGTAAATGCAAAAGACCAGAATTAGTTGTGTCCCATTTCGTCTTTTGCACTACTTTACAACGTACATAGGAGAAAGAATCATGGCTTATATTTTTTGTAATTTGGATTGTCAATTGTCAGTGTGATACTTCGAAATTTAACAGTGACGTCATCTACAAAATTTACTTATGTCCAGTGGGGATTTATCTTCACTTTGGTCACAATAGAGCTCAAACCAGTAGTCTCACTCTCGTCGGAACCTTTGATTTTTGTGTCTCAGTTTCATTTTTTTTTTTTTGGACTACTGCGCATCCATAATCCACCGACCGGAGTGGTTTTGTCAAGCTACTTGACAGTAAAATTTCATGGAAATGACTCTTTTGTAGTAATGTAGATTATGAAACGCTTTGAATTTTTTATTACAATTGTTACACGCTTTTCCTCGCTCCTTGTCTGTTTGGTTGAAATTTTGCAATCGATTAAATAAGTTATTGAGGAGCTAAAGGAATTTGCAACTTCAAACAGCTTAGAACTGGATAAAATGCAATATTTTTGCATACTGTATGAATAATATGAAACGTATAAAATCTAACAAAGTTCGTAAAGCATGTTGGAGAGTTTCTAATGAATGGAAAGAATTGCGATTTGCTTGTCCAACTTACAGGCACCACAGCAAATTAAATAAGAGCTTAAAAAATAAATACCTTCTGAATAAGGTTCGGCAAAGCTTATACTAGGAACAGATTCCAACTCTCTTTCTCTCTCTCTCTCTCTCTCCGTAAATGAAAAACAAAATATTTTTCAAACAAATGATAGTATCATTTGTTTATAAACACTATATACAATTAGTAAAGTCATTGGACATTCAAAAACATCATGATTCCCATTAACTCATATATAACTAAAACCTTCCTAAGCGAAAAATAAAAGTTGGGAACTTTTCAAGTTAAGAATTTGTCTGAATGCCCTCATTGAATCCTGGTGAACTCACCTATCTTCATCTATGGGTAATCTAAAATAGCTGTATTGAGGATTTTTCTTGGAATTGTTAGAACAAACTACACAATAATTAGATGCCGTTTTGGGATGTCTAAACAAATTGTTAGCCATTAATGTGAGGTTAAAAATGATAATAACAACACGAGGCAGCAGTAAAATCAAAGATATCTCACAATATGTAACTGAATATTCTTGTGAACTTTCACACTTATTCACAACTGGGTTATCTTTTAATCACCAATACCTGATGTGTGTTTTTAATCCAAATCATCAGGCTAACAAAAGACAATAGAGAGGCCTTTTCCATCCTTACATTGAAGGCAGCATAACTTTGTTTGTTTACGGGAAGTAAGTTGACCATAAAACAGTGGCGGTTGGTTTAGTTGATAATCGAAGGGATAGTATATATATTTATAAAATGAATCATTTTAGGTGAAAATGTATTCTTTTTAAATAGTTCCTGAACGAAATCTGATTTATTATTGAAGATCATGAAAATGAGGCCAGTTTATCTACCACCTACCTACTAGATTTTTATTTACGTATGGCTTTATAATAAAGCGCGTGGTTTACTGGGTTGAAATTAAATTATTTCATATGAACTAATTCATAACAATGATAAATGTTTATTTCAAAAGTAATGAACTTTGCTTCATATAATCAGATGAAGAAATTTGTGATTTATTCTCAGATTTTATAAACAAGCGGTACGGTTTGTGAGATCCGATATGAAGAATTTTCGATTAGAAATCATGATTTCATTCAAAATTGGTATCTAGGGGTCTTTGTGGACCGACATTATGAAAGGGGATATTTTTGATCTGTTTAAAATCTGTTTTTCCGTTAATCAGAATGTTTTCAATGATAATTTTTTTGATGTTATTCTTATAAATGAAGTTCTTGAAACTAGATTTATATTATTTCATTGTTTGACACATCCCAACCAAAAAAGGTTAAAAAAATGACAACCGTCATTTCTTAATGAATATTGTCTGTATGCAACGCGAAAGCCTCGTGCAAAGAAATTGAAACCAAAACAGAAATCATATTCTTTGTGTGACTTAAGTTAGTTGTTAGTTGTACAAGAATAACTATTTAGTATACAAACAGAACATTGAGCAGAAAGCTTTTTAATCTGTCGATCACAGAATGAATATGACTTATGGCACACATTTGAAAAACATATTTTGCATTTTTGAATACAGTTTTTTTTTCATTTACATGAATGATTTTTCGTAATTGAGAATTCGTCAGCATGAATTATTGAAAAAAAAAACAATGTCGGTCCACAAAGACCCCCATGTAGATATCAATTTTGATTGAAATCACATAATAATATCAAATCTCAATCGTAATTATAAATATTCATGATTTCTCATCGGAAATTCTTCATATCGGACCTCACAAACCGTATCGATTGTTGATCAAATCTGAGAATAAATCACAAATTTCTTCATCTGATTATATGAAGCAAAGTTCATTACTTTAAAATTAACATTTATCATTGTTATGAATTAGATGTTCTCGTTTTGAATAATTATTTTGGTATACGAGATAGAATACAATATGAAATAAATCAGAACTTGGAATATTTCTGGCGAAGTAATATTAGCCACAACAAAACTTTTTTTTAACATGATACCATAAGTGAAATGTGGTTAATTTGATAGGTCAAAAGCAGTAAATCACTTGCAAAATTTTAGATATGCAAACGTTGCCTATTATCGAGGCAATTCACGGCGCATCACAGCTGTCACCGCTCGGATTCGATCATGCGCTTTGTGATTTAATACCAAAGAGTGGGGATATTGACTTTACTGGGTCTTTTCTACTGTGCCTTGGTGATTCGTGTTGGGAAAAAGAAAAAGAAGAGAAAAGTTGGATTTTGTATTGAAAGCCAGCGCAAAAGCAGAAAACGAGAGCTGTTTCTGGCGGAAACGGGCAGCCATGATGAAAACGAGCCGCGTCTCGTCTCTGAAAATGGCAGAAAATGATATAGATTTGTACGCAGATGATATTGACCAAGATTTTGCACAAGTAAGACAGCTTAAATTTTCACTTGATAGCTATACTGCAAATTGTTTAGCTATAGAACAAGAAAAAACATTTTATCGATTTTTGTGGACACCATGTTTAGGTGGCGAAAGAGTCATTAACTTTTATTGTTGTTTTAGGACGACTTCACTGGAGAAAATGTAGATCTGTATGATGATGTTATATCTGCACCGTCTGGTCTAAATAGTAGTGATAATGTGGATTCTAACCACCAACCGGCTACAGCTGCAAACGAAGAGGCGGGTGGAAATTTTCCTCAAACTACGGCTTCTTCAAATAGTTCTGGAAGAAGACATCAATTGTATGTAGGAAATTTAACGTGGGTAAGTACTCCTTATTTGAATATTTAGTCAAAAATCTGTTTTCTTTGCTGATCAGAAGACGAAATGTAGCAGTATAAAATGGTATATGCTCACAACTTTTATTTCACCAAAACAATTAATTTTGTGCTATATGTCTTAATACTGTGCTGTATGTTTATACTTCACAATAATACTGTCAAGGTATTTATTATGTAAAATTTTGGTATGCAGTAGATGATGTGAAGTAAGACATTTCTTGCAAGAGTTTATTTTTAGAAATATTAAACAGTTTTGATCTGCTCAAAAAAAAAAGAGGATTCACTGGTGTTGGTTTTTTAATTTTTATGTCCAACTGGCATCGGTAGAATAATCGGAATTGCTTATATCAAAGATAGAGTAAGAATAATATTGACAGTATCAACAATTTTGAGAAGCATTTCCACAAATAATCCACTACTCCATTCCAAAGATTCGGTCGAGTTGGAATAAAAAGTTGCAACTGATCATAAAAATTACTGGGTGTGTCATTTCAAAATCGATATAAAAAAAACAGTTATTTATATTGAATGGTTGAAACTCTAGGTAAAGATAGTCAGTGATTTACCGAAAAAGAGAAATTAAAATACATGTGCCTTTTTTGAAGTACTGGTAGTGATGTTTGTTGGTGTTCAGCTGGAATTTGTAGAATAATTTTAGTTACATATACCAAAGAAATAACAACATTGAGGAAATCAACAATTTTGACAAAAATGACAACAAAGTAAATTCGATCGTGTTACCCCACTACTCTCTAATCTACTCTAATCCAAAGATTTTGTCAATTGAGATGGAATAAAAAGTGGCAACTGGAAAAGGAATCCAACAACATGAAAATGATGGAAATGATCATTCCAATATCGTCATTATAGCAAAAATTCACCCCCAGGCTGCTATGCAGTTGAAATGCTTTTGTTCTGATAGAATGGGCTACTTTTCACTTATCGAATCTCACCTATGATGTTGTATTGATACGATGATATAAGTGCTGTAAAAACTAGCTGATGCATTCAATATTTGTGTCTCTTAAAAAGCAATTCGGTACATTAGCAGAAGTAAAGCAAGGCACATGGCAAAAATCTTTTCATCAATGTTTACTATGTACTTCATATTTATCTTGGAAGTGGTCTGCTAAAGTCCAAAATAGCATATAGCCTATAATACATATAAAAATGATGTCATTTCCCAAACCTGTTTATTGAAAAATTAATTATAATTTGAAAGCAAAAATATTTATTACCACTTGCCTGGTCTCTTAAAAAATATTACAAATTACCCTTTATTTTGAAGGACAGTGAGAAGTTCACTTGTGAACAAGGACTACTGTTTTTTTACTGGTAACAGGTTGTATTTTTCGAGGATTACTAAACTTCCAATCCAGACTGTCTAATCATCTCCTTATGATGCTAACTTGGTTAGCAAAAGGACCGTTAAGAGACAGTCTTTCTGTTTTGGTCAGGGAAAATTGTTTTCGATAGAAGTCATACAATGTTTTTAGAATGAAGAAATTATTATCAATATTATTTCTTATAGTTTTTTGCCTAGGGACATGCAACAGACTGTCATAGAATATTCCAACACCAACAATATTGACTACAGATATGAATGTCGAAATTCATTCATTACATTAAAAATACTAACCTTTCCTTCTCTCTATATCATGAAAAATTGAATATACATGAAAAAATATCTATTAATATTAAAGTTTTGAAAATGTGCACGACCACAACACTAGGAATAAAAATTATTTGAGTACAAACTACTGCCGCTTAAAAAGATGTCAAAATGGACCAGATTTTTGGGCTATGAAACTTTACAATAAATTACCACAAAAAATAAGATCTGTACCTAATTACATATTCAAAATAAGGATAAAATATTTTTTAATAAATGGCATTTTGTTCTGAGAAAATACTCTGCCGTTATTATTATTAAAAATAAATACCTCTGTTCAGTGTGCCATCATTCCATTCGATCCCTTCTTATGGCATTTTGCTGTGGGAAAATTTATCTCGTGCACTAGCTGTCTTCAGAAGGCAGTAAAAGGATATAAGAATGTTTTCAGTCTTTTCGATGTTCTCACCTCTATCAAATCATTAGAATCAAAGAAATTCAAAAGAGTGCAATGAAAAAAATTCTGCTTTGCCAATATGATTGTTGATATTGCAAACTCCTGGATAGTTTAAGTTATGTGCATTTTCTCCGTCATATGTCCATGAATTTTATTTAGATATGTGTTTTTATTTGTCATGACTTCATTAACATTTGAATTTTATTCTTTGTATATGTGCATACATTAAGGTAATTTTGTTTTATTCGTAATGGGTATTTAGTACCGTGCAGTACAGTAACTGTACATAACATGGTGAAATAAATTACCAACCAAGATAGGCATTCAGTGAGTCAATACAAATATACATACAGAAAAACATTATGATACAAATCCAGAAATATTTATTCAAAAGAGAAATAAACAAATTCTAATAACCCTTTGACTAATATTATCATATGATACCATAATGAAGAGTAAACTTTTGAAAGTAAAACTGATTTGAGTTGTGGGTATTTTACATTTTGTGGATGCTTTTGAATCATAAAAAATACAAATTCACTGCAGTGATATACATATTCAACATACAAATTTTTTCATTCACTTTTACAAAGGATTAGTGAGAGAAATCGGTCAGAATTTTTTATGCCAGTGTCACCAACGAGTATGAAAATCAAGTTACATTAGTGACAATCATAAATGTCTTTATAGTACAGTTTAGTTGCATGTAATATAAAAGTTGTTTTGTGGGATGCAGACATAAATTAAGTTTTTATTTTATTTATGTCTGCATACTGCAACTCCATGATAGCCTTAGGAAAACTATGAGCTGGCCCTGACGGAAAACCTTTGTGATTTCTAAAAAACTGCATATTCACTCTAGCAAAACCCTTACAAACAATATACAATCTTTCTTTATCCATGGGAACCTTTCCGAAATCCTGGAAGCAACTCCAATCCAAAAATCTGGAGAGAGGAAAAAATTAAAAACAACTGTCCAGTGAGCAAGCAATCTGAAATTCCCACAATACTGGGCTGTTTGATAACTGAAAAAGTCACATTGGATATGAAAAACATAATGAATACAAACATGGCTATATATCTGGTAGATATACCACTATGAATTTATTGCCTTGTCAACATTTTTTTTTTATAACCCAGAGGAAAAAAAACAGGTTGACTATTTATCAGAGTTGGGTAGTATCCGAATAAATGTGCGGATACTTTATATGTATTCGAAAGCTGTATTCGGATATTTTTCAAATTTTGTATTCCGTATCCGTGGCTAAATTTGTAAGTATCCGAATACCGAATACTTTTTCCGATCTTCGGATACTTTTAAATTATTCGATGAATGAGAACCAGACCAAACAGCCCCATTTTATGCAGGCGTATTTTGTCGGGCATCTTCGAAAACGGTGAAATACAATTTTGGCACTTTGCCACCTTGAAACATGAGTTATTAGAGTGCCTCATATATCAAAAATGTGCAGTAGACCCCACTTGTGATGAAGTGTGGTGTGGTGAAGTGATGAACACTTTGAGGTATTGGTACTGAAGAAGGCAAATTCAAACTCAAAGGTACTATTATAGATATAAATNGAAAGAAAAAGCAAATAATATAAAAATAAACTCTCAACAAAGATGTATAGGTCATGCATAGAAGTTACTTTCATCATGTAGGTAATCAGCTGATAGAAAGAGATACTGGATGACAAAATTGCCGATATTCAGTTTGTATTATTTAAATTTATTTCTTTCCACGTTGGAAACTTTATCTTGAGTTGTTTTATTTTCTCAAATTTTCAGTATTGATTTTTTTTTAGTGGACCACTGACCAGGATATAGCAAATGCTGTACAGGATATTGGAGTGAAGGACTTCCATGAGGTTAAATTTTTTGAACACAGAGCAAATGGTCAATCAAAGGGATTTTGTGTTGTATCATTAGGCTCTGAAGCAAGCATGAGACTATGCCTGGAACTCCTACCGAAGAAAGAAATAAATGGACAAAATCCTGTTGTCACCCCTCCCACCAAACAAGCCCTGAGTAACTTTGAAAGTCAGTCTAAAACTCGACCTAATCCTACTAATAATTCCAATTCTCGTCCCCCTCATCCTAGCCATCCTAATAGTAATGTTCATTCAGGTCCAATGCAAAATTACGGTGGTAGGATGCCTATGAATGCGTCTATGCGACCTATGCCTCCAGGTATGCAAGGTGGACCACGAATGCAAGGACCTCCAGGTTTTAATGGACCCCCAAACATGAATCAGCAGCCACCGAGATTCCAGGGTAATCATCCCCAGTGGAACGGACCAAGGCCTAATGGACCTGGGCCTAATATGGGAATGAGACCTATTGGACCTCCGCCTGGCCCACAGGGACCACCAAGACCTCCAATGGTAAGATGTATCTGATGATTGATTATTTAGGATCTATCCATGATAATATAAAATAATTTTCACACTAGTAACTTTACCAGAGACTTGTTTCATACACAGTGTCTTCCTCAGTCAATGCGATTTGGATTTAGGATTACGAATTCAGTTTTATCAATACATTCCATGTAACACTGATCAGCTCAGCTGGTTTACAGCGTTTTTTGATGGACAGTTTGTCAGTGTTTCTTGACAAGTCAAACTTGCCTAGTATTCAATACTTTTATAGCAGAAGAGTGTTGCCAATTTTTAGATCTCTTACACTTCAATTTTTTTTTTATAAAAAATCAATCAAGTTCATGTTTTCAAATATGATTTTTTGCTTGAAGTTATTTATTTTTTCAAAATAATTTTGTGTAAAAGAACATATATGGCGTGTTATGATTTTTTTCAGAGTGTTCACTCCATTTGCCACATATACCTTACCATCATCTTTTTTGTTATAGAACAGTTCTGGATATTCCCAGCATTGTGGGCTTAAATGTATTAGTTATATATTTAGCATTTAAGTATTAGTAAGCTTGAACATCTTTTGTAAATGCATACGTTCTGTACACAGAAATTTTCTAGGTGTGGTCTTTAATAATTGAGTGAAATTATTTTCAGCAATTCCAAGGACCACCCCAACAGGGTCCACCACGAGGCATGCCTGCTCAGGGCCCACCTCCTATGCGACCAGACTGGAACAGACCTCCAATGCAGCAAGGCTATCCACAGGGTCCACCTCACATGCAGGGTCCTAACATGGGTCCTAGAGGCCCGCCACCAATGGGTCCCCCTGGAGGTCCTCCTCAAGGACCTCCTCAAGGTCCAGCACCACATGTCAATCCTGCATTCTTCCAACAGGGAGGAGGCCCGCCACCACCGATACAACACCTGCCTGGACCTGGGCCCGGTATTGTACAATTTTCTATTATTGTTAAACGTGTAGGACTGGTGCTTAGAAAAGAAATTCAAAAGAAGTTGTATTATGATTGAGTGGGATTTAGAGAGATAGAGAGTGTTTTTGTGTAACTGACTTTGTTTGTAGATAACTTTGTTTTTTATGGGATAGGTGAAATGTCAAAACAAGCATTTTCCCTAGGTATCGTTTCAACTTCCTATTCGGAATATTCAGAGAGAGTCTGAAAACTTCCGCAGCAAAGTGAAAAATCTTTTATTAGAGGGCACTTTTCTCAAATCTGAATTTGAAAATGTCTCATTCGTTATTTTTATTATGACACCTGTCATGTTGTGCGTTTCTAAATATTCAGATTACAATTATCTACAGCTCCCTAAATTTCTATTCGTTTTATAAATTATTTCTTCGAAGGACGAAAAAATTAGAATAAAATTTCTACATTGCCACTGAGGTTAGGGTGTTGGGTCCAAAGTGACTAAATCAACCAACCTTTTAAACAATCTTTTTGAATCTTAATCCGTACTTGGTTGATTTGAGATATGAGAAAAAAATTCATGAATACTTGCAGTTTCCAGTAAATGTGATTTTTAATATAAGTAATCTGTTGGTTCACTATAAAATTCAAGTGATTAAAAATCATGACAGTTGAAAAATGAAAAAAATGTGAAATGAGAATGCAATTAATCCAATATAAATTCATGCAATAGGAAATAATTTTCTGTTGAAGAAACCATCTGAAACGAAAGCAAACTCAAACAAAAACTGATTTGTAAATAATAGTTGAAAAGGCTTCACTTCTGTCCATTAGACAATTAGTATCTATATGACTTGTTAATGGTCTAAATAAATATCTCGGCGAATAGAGACGGTAAACAATAACTTCCTGAATGGCGTATCCTCATGTAGTAATGCACTGTTTCAAAAAGCATAAACAAAGTGCCTAGTCTAGAGTTCAAAGCAAACTACCTTGTATCACTATATAAATCAGATTACAGAATATTAAGACCCCAGAAACGATGGGGAAACATAGACACTAAAAGTGTCTTGATGACTGACTACCATCTAATCCTTACTGAAATTGTAATCAGTTAATGATAAGGAAATAGGGAAATAAGGAAAAGTTAGTTCAATAAATTGACCTGTATCATAGTGACTATCTTTACAGTTCTGTAATCACAATTATTAGAACAAAGAATGTGTGAATTATTATCAGCTGTCTGTATTCATACATACGTTTGCACCTGCGATGACAAATCAAAATAATTACAGACTGGCTGGTTCTCTCATTATCATGAGTTAGGAGAGAGGGAGAGAGAGAGATATACGTTTAATGTCATAAGAAATACATCTTGTTGGCAAGGGTGAAAACAAAATTAATATTAGCAATTTTCATATTAAAGTATGATCTAATATTCTTGGACCCATAATATTTCGTCCAACAAATCACAAATGCTTAACTGAAGTAAATCTGTGATGTAAAAGTATTTTTTTATTAACAAATTCATGAAAATTTGTCTTATTTCGAATATGTGAAAATGATAATCCCCTTTGAAGTAATAGCTGGAAGTAATATTTTTAAATACTTGACAGTTAATTTTCAGTTCTACCTGAGTTTATACTGGTGTATGTTTTACTCTTTAGTTGTATGAGGGTAAAAGGGGATTAAATATTTGTTAAGATATATTCTTCATCAACATTCTCCAATGTTTTTTATATTAATATTGTATGAATGGATGAACATGTGTGAATTCTTGAATATAAGCATTATAAAATTCACAATAAACAGTGGTTTCACATTAACCAATACACTTTGCGATGCACAAACAAAGAGGTATGCTTTGATTAGTGTTTTTTCAATCTTTGTTGCATCACTTGTGATTAGTATACAATGCGGAAGTAAGAAGTCCCCCCTCTTAACTTTTGAACATGACAAAATATCAAGGTCGCACAAGTTTTCAGTTGAAAAGGCATTACTTTCGGTACTCTTCAACTCTTTGGACCCCATGTGCCCACCTATAGTCATTTCCATTTCAATTCCTGGCATAAGATTCCCCACCTTATATTCAAGTCGTGAGATCGTTTAAAACAATTGTATTTTTTGCTACTAAAATTGTTCACTGTTTAGAACAACTTAACGTAAAAAAATTACATCAAATGAAAAATATTATTTAATTATTTTTCATTATTCTGTGTTATGATAACACATAACACTTAAGCTAACACAATTATATCACTCAAGCTACAATTTAACATGTTTTTCAAAGCAAGTCAACCATGTAGGCATGTTTCATGATTCATATATTGTATTTACTTTTATTGGCTTTTTTCTGGCCTAGGCACTGTTATGAAAAATCTCATTATTTTCTGATTTAATAAAAGCCAGTATGTTATCTATGTAACACTAATATGTCCTAATTGAACATGTTTTCAAGTTCTTGAACAGGTTCTTCAACATGTTGATGGCTTTTTAATTTGGTATTTTTTTATTGAAATCTAGAAAAAATCTATCACCAAAACCAAAAGAAAAATATGTATACTGCTCTTAATGGTGATCATGCGGACGCAACATGTAATTTTACATTTTGGGGCTATATGACCACCAGTGTTAAACTAATGAAAAATACAATATTTAGCAAGAAAAAAAACTATGTGTTTCATCTCAAATAATACAACGAATAGGCAGATGGTCCCTGCAAATGAAACAGAACTGATCACAGGTGGGTACGTGAGGCTCGAAAGTGTTATTGAAAAGAACAATAGTGTGGCCAAGAGGGCACTATCATCTTTTCTTAATGGAAAGGGGGTATTGTGATTTGTTGTTTGATAGGTTATTTAATTCTCCGATTCTGTATCCATTATAAAATATTTCTGGGGTAATCTAATTGCTAACACCTCTTTTATATCAACAAATTATGGAATAGACTGCAGTTATGTAACGAATAGTTTAGACTTTATGAAATCCCTAAATCTAAAGGCGTCATAGCAGGAGAACTAGCAGACCATTCTGATAGAAAATAGAAAATGTCTGCCTCCACCGCTTTAGATAATTGATGAATCCAAATGATGTTCCAACTAATGTTGTTTCAGCAAGATGACTGACTGGTTTGAAAGTGACTAGATGACATTTATCAGAACCATTGGATAGGCAGACGTGCTCCTTTGAAATGGCCCACTAGATCACCTGATAAGAGTTTTTTGTGGGTATTAGAGATATCTAATGTGTATTTTACACAATTGTATTCCTTTCCAGAACTCATGGATAGAATAAGAGATACTTGCAATGAAATTATCCCAGAAACATTCCATAATGTAAGAATGAATTTGTTATTGTCGGAAAGGGGATGGTGAATATTTTGAATATTTATTGTGATAAACTGTAGTGTTTGTTTGCAAATTCTTAAAAATATAAAACTGACAATATTTTTGGAACGGCTGATATAATTTTGAAAAGTAAATAGTGAAGGGTAGATTAAATAAGACCTACCAAACGAGTTATCACAAGAACCCATTTTCCTTAATGACGCCTCAGTATTAATGTCTTTTTATGTTAACTTAACTTTGTTCCATCTTGATATCTTGTCCCATTCTAAAGTTAAGAGGAAATTACTTTCAGTTACTTATAGAAAGTTTGATTTCCTTAACTAAACAGCAAATTTCAGTGTGTGTCAATTCAAGCAATAAATGAAATATATTTTTTTTGTTTTTTCCGAATATTTATTGCCCTCTAAAAAGTAAGCACCCCATTAGAATTACTTATAGTTAGTAATTATTACTGTATGTATTTGAAAAACGAACTATAATATGAATCACTATTTATTTATTAAGCGCTTTCATTTAGCGCTTCCTATCTTTAATGTTAAATAAAACAAAGTGTGTGTGTGTGTGAGATATCATCGGCATTTTTTATTATTTGAAAGAGCTATTGATGCCATTTTGTGTGGAATATAACATCGTTCAAATGTCTGGCTTCCCTGGGTGGAGCGATTTTCCATAACTCTGACGCATAATTCATACTGAATTTGACTGATGGTACGGGTTATGTTAGCTTTGAGGACTGCTGTGGTTAGTGGCTTATTCGCATACACCTGTGACTTGAGAAAACCCCACAAGAAAAAGTCTAACGACCATGCCCATGAGGCCGATTCATCCAGAAATGGACTTCATCAAGAAAGATGATTTTTCAATGAAAATTAGGGTCAGTTGCGAACTGCTCCAGATCCCATTCAGAGAACACATCTCGTTGCCTTCAGTCACCTCAGTCACTTCAAGTCGCGACGCAAAATTCATCAAGTTGTGGTCTGGATCTTGCATTTCGTCGACTTACGGGTGTTGGTTGATCATTTACTGAACTAGTGGACTCAAATTTATTGATAACATTGCGAATAGTTCTCCCAGTAGGACGATTATGGCGCGCGGTACGTTGCCCGAACAGAACACCCATTTTGATTAAATAATTTTTATAATTTGCATGTGTTGTTGAATGCTGTATTCGTCCATGGTGATTTGGACTGAATAAATGAAAATTAATTTGACAGATGTAGCTTCAACAAGATGGCCGTTATCAATTGTCAAAGTTCAGAAGTCCTCGTTGGAAGACCCTATACATTCCTTTTTTGGGATCAGCCCCATTTACAAAAATTTGAATTGACATATCTTAAAGTAATATAGAACATTACATTAACTCATGGTCAAATACATATAGTAATAATTATAATATACCATGTAGTTGAAAATAAGGCTAAAATAAATTTACCATTTAATGCATACTTGTTTATTTGACTATTTTTGAATTTGTTCAGGTATAGGTCAATTATAACTGAAGTGTCTGATCAATAGGGTCATGTAAGCTATAGTTTATAGTAAGGAATGTTATGTGAAACAATATTGTACACCTTAAAATTCTTTTTGGAACATAGAAATGAACATTTTCTAGGATTTCAGAAGGAACAATCTGACCATTCAGTAGCTTCAGTTTTTTCTCCTTTTTCACAATA